AAAGCTACATCTTCACATTTTTTCTCAAAAAAGGAATAATGGGGACTTTGTTTGGAGGACTGCGTACTCTCGCTAGACGACCCGAAACATTTCCATTTGTGTGCTTATAATGGGAAGCAAAACGCTCGACAGCATATACACATTAAACCTAGTTTTGTATTAAAGTACAAAGGGAAGTTAAGCATCAAAACTTACTATATACTTCAAGCATCACCATTTAAGAGAAACTGAGCAAAACAATTTAATATTTCTCGCGTAACCAAGGTTTTGGGGGTTAGTCGATGGTGTCTTCCAAAACACCTCTAGTTTAATTTATACACGATGTATTAGCCACTGTTGTTAGAGACATCGGTCACAGATGTCAATAAAGTGTTAACTAGTACCAGGGATTGTAATAAACCCCGTTACAGATGTCAATAAAGTGTTAACTAGTACCAGAGATTGTAATAAACCCCGTTACATCACCTCACGGAGTGCCCCGGCTTTGAAGCAACATGTCTGACATAATTACATACACGTGCTGATGTTCCTGCATTAACGTATTTAACGAGGAACAAACACCAGGTCGGAACTATGGCGGACGGATTTGTGTGTGATAACGATACTCTGTCAGTATGGTTACTGTCCCACAATAGTTAATCACTTAAGTTACTACATTTTAATCATTATATGAAGGATTGGGTTTTCTTAAAATGTTAAAATCGAGCAAAAACTGACTTGCACTGTCGTGAATTTTGACGATTTAGTGGTTCAGGCAGGTAGCTGTTCCTTACTTGCTTAAGTATCATTTGTTCATTGTTTATTATACGGTACCGCGCGAGGAATGCCAAATGTTTGTGAGTTACTTAAGAGTAATTAAGGTAAGATGTTTAACAGGTGAGAAGACCTATACGTGTGTAATAGTCCGTGAAATATATTATGCATTCTGAATGCTCTAGACAAGGAACCAAGAACAGCCTAAGGTAGTGTTAGACCAGTAACAGCACACATTCTGGAGTCAAAAAGTAAGAACAATAACAACGATTACACTTTCTGGAACCAAACTTAAAGAACATGTTTGCAGCTAATGAGTAGGTTACGTAAGTATTATTGACAAGGACTCCACGCAGACTTTAAATATCAACAGCAATATTTAACAGAGACGTTATAGTTTAATCCACGTTAATAAAAACCTACAGACTACGTTGTCTGCAAGAAGTCTCCGCCAAACATGCATACACTGAAAGAAAGAACCCAACTGAAGTGTATATATTAGTTACTTCAGTGTCCCCGTAACAAAGAATACAATAGGCCAAAGTTTTGTTTCTCCAATGTTACCTACAATGTGAGTACATTAGATCATTGTTGATCACGTTCCTATGGAGGGCCTAGTAAGTTGTAAGAACTATAAAATGTTTGATTGATTGAATGAATGAATTAAATCAAGCATAGTTTCTTCAATGTTCTCTGTACATAAAATACAGAACTTATTTTTCTAATTCTCTGTGTCAATATTAGTAGGCTTTTGCGATACATCTAGTTGAATTCTCACTAGCTGTTATACATATCTGACTCTTATGAAGCGTAATCTCATGTACACTGTACACGTGTTATTCGTGAATCGGTTAGACTCATTATACATACAAGTATAATCAGTCAAGTGTAGATAATTTGAAGAGATGCTTTTGATTATGTCCTCTTTCTTGTGCCTGACATTCTCCTGAACACAGATACAACAATGTATCTGGTACGTGGGTAAACGAAAGGCATTCCGTTCATCAGTAGATCACTGAAAATTAGACAGCTAACATATACGTATAGCGCAACACCACATCAACAAATACTGTAAACATAAGCTGAGCATGGTGTGTATGATGACGCCTTTGGTGACAAGAACGCTTCGCCAAGGACTGAGATAATGCTTCATAACAAAAAGACACCTACTCATTATGACGATTCTCAAAAGAACGATATTATGTTAATGCCATTCTACCTGGTAGCAACTAAATGGTCTGGTAAAACCATGAATACCATGGGAGTCCTCGTATCCTGTCTACAAACGTATTAAGGTACATTACTGTTCAGCGCTATTAGGTAAAGTAATTTCAGACACATTATGTTTTGGTTCTATTTTCGTAACAAAGCATGCAGTCTTAGGAAGTATACTTGCACTCGATAATAAAATATAATGTTTACTTTTTGGTTTAACTTTAAACATATTTTATAGTCCAAATAGGTACAAAGGATTCGGCACAAGTTATAGCAACTTATGAAGCCATCTCCTATCAGCCAAATATTTCATATATATATACAAGTGATGACATAGACAGATAATTTCAATTTCAACAATAGAAAGAAGTCAATTAGATGTAAATTGTAATAGACAAATTGATAAAGTTTAGTTTAAGTTCAAAGTCTCCCGCTGGATTTTATGTAGGAGTGCACATGTTAAAATACAAAACAGTTTACACCGAACGCCATGTTTTCATTGTCAAAAAGATACAAATTTAAACTAATTTGCATATTTAATTTAATAAATGTTTGAAGCATTAAGTTACTGCACGAGCGTTTGAATAAGTTTGGCACTCAGAAAAGAAATGATAAGGATTTTCCCTTGTATGAACACTGTATAAGACACATTGTAATGCATACCTCCCAGCCACTCGTATAGATACGATGGGAATATTAATACATCGCCTACGTATACACTCACTATATCTTAACTTCGACCAGATTAAAAGTTACACTGTAAACGCGTCAGATTTATCAAACCGAAAGTAGGTTATTTATTTAAGAAACATCGTAGTAAGAGCGAAGCTCTTTAATGGTAACACATAGCATGCGTACGTAAACAGAGTTGCTTCCTCTGTCTACACTTTGCCTTTAAAAAAATCCGGAAAATCTTGGAACTGATGTCCGTTGCATTTATCTCTTTGTCGGTGTTTTATGACTTTTTTACTTTTCTTCTTGCCACAGGCACAAAAGGTAAAAATGCAGATATTTTCTGAAGATCCTTTTTGTCATCAACCAGGCTCTGTTAATTTTTCTACTGTGAGATATCTTCAAAAAGAGCCGACATTAAACCAAACATCGTCTAAAATTCCATCAGCTTTTGATTTCCTTTTGTTGAGAATATCAACGAATTAATTACCATTTTTGAAAGTCTGGTTATAGTCTTTACATAATTTATATATGCATCACCACCACTCATCAAAGAAACAATGGATAATGCATTTATGTCGAAATCAACAATAATTTTTGAAAACAACCATCCCGAATTCAGAGCACCTTTTTAGCAACGTATTACGTTTTCACAACACACGCCGATTTATAACTAGTTACAGACAGAAACTGTTTACTTTTATTTGGCATATCCTTACCTGTCAAACCTCGATGACAGAAACAAAATATGAAATTCAATCCGGTGTTTCAGGATGGAAAAGGAATTGAGACTGCATATCGATATATAACGACAATCTCAACATTACATCGAAATATTACAATGTTTCTTTTTTTTAAGTTACATCTCAATACATTTACTGGGACTTATCGTTAAAAATATAATATGCACTTGTTTTCTAAAGCAACTGCCAAACATTTTTCGCAACTTATCTTGATAATTCGTTTTGTGCCCTGACGGAAACATGGAGAGGATTTAATTCTTAATGAAAAAGGAAGCCAGAGTATCCGGAGAAAACATGCGTTGTTGGGCAGGTGACCGGGATTGAATCCGGTCATCTTGGTGAATACGAGCGCGCTATCCACTGCGCCACCCGACCCATCATATACGTTACACACAAGAACAAATATCTACTTTAGCTTTGACTGGAAGAAAACGGCGTCATTACTGCAAAGATTATACTGTTAATACATTTTTTCTAATCATCTATGATACAAAAAGTCTCCATATGGGAGACCGGGGCAAGTTCGGCCACCCCTGATATTTTTGTTTTTAGCTTATATTTATAACTTTGAGGCTCTTAGCAGTTTAGTTGACTGGGCTTTCACACGAAAAAAATGGCGAGGCAAACTCTTATGTACTAAGAATTACTAAGCAGGAGAAAATAACTTTTGAGAGGGTATAGAAAGAAAATCATGATCTCGCTTCTGGTTATGCGAACTTTCTGTAAACGAAATTCCCATAATTGTAATGTCGGTCTTAAGTCTCATTAGAGCCCATGTTTTATTGTTATTCCTCGATTATCCGACTTAAAAAAAGTTTATTTTATCTCATTCTGAAAGCTACGCTCTTTTTAGGCTTTGCCATTTCATATTACATGTTATTATCTGCTTTTGAACATTCGATATCAAAGTAATTCCCTTGTAGAAAATGAACAGCAGATATTGCCTCTGAAAGACATGTACAATAGTTTAGTAGATTGCAGGTGTTAGTACTGCGTTAAAGCGGAACGGCTCGATAAGTTCGTTCCGTTTCCAGTCCGTTCCGTTTCCGGTTCCCTCAGAACTCTTCAAATAGAGGTAAAAAGTACAACGTGCCGTTTTATGCTGAAAGGAGGAGCCCGCGTTACTTTATGAAAACTGTTCTCGTTTATTCATTTGCAAAGGCGGATCCAGAGGGTTATTTTGGGCTTCAAGACCCCCACCCTGAGAGTTTTCTTTAAATATCATTTTTTCACTATTTTCCTCAATTTTTCCTTACATGGAACCCCCACCCCTGGAAATTTGGAAACTCCACAGATAGGTTTCTTGTTAGTTTATTTTCGTAATCAGTGAGCTTTGAGACACAGATTTTTTGAGTCCGGTACTTTAGGACACTTTAGGACACGTCCACATTTCGAGAACCGGCTAGGCTATATTTCACCAGCACACTGAAAATTAATTCCTGTAGGAACTCTATAACCGTGCATCATTACTGTTCACAGCACTGTTTGTTACCCTAACTGGCTACACTTCCTGAAGAACATAGGAAAAAGGTGCTAGTAAAGTTCAGATAGAACAGTAAATACAGAAAAACCAGTTCATTCTGTTTGTGTGGGGAATACCTGCATGGTTGCACTGTAATGAAATCGGTACCAGGGGGTAATTGAATAGGATTGGTACCATTACAATTTGTTTAGCGAAGCAGTGCCAATAAGAAAACTGTTTATTGTAAGAATATTTTTTAACAATTAACAGAAGGTTGATACTTTATTCGGTAACAGAACATTGATTGCTGCCATCATCTGGCTGTTTGATGTGTTGTGATTTATATTTCCTATACACAACTTCCTACTGGATTGTAGTAAAGAAAAAAATGTTTGATACAATGTACGGGATTAACAAAACAATTTATAAAATCATTAACAGATGATTTATTGAGTATATGCATGTTGGCAAATGCAAGAGAAAAAACTTTCTTCCTTTGGTACATTGTAGATGGATGATCTACATCACAGGACTGAATTTATTTTAAAGTTAAAGTTCAAAATTTATGCAAAAATTGAAATCTTTGGATATATGTTTGCTTATTGCATCTTTTTTTTTTGTAGCTGTTGTGTTTCAAATATGCATCCAAAACAGATACAAACTCAACAAGAAATACAGAAAATGGCAGAACACAGACAACAGAGAAAACTCTTCATCAACAGAAAGTCCGGCTGTCGCCAAACACAGTCTTGCTCTGCAAGCTCGTGTAAGTTCATCAACAAATCAACAAGTATACAGATGACTTCCAAAAGTGCTGTAGAACCCTATTTATTTCTGTTGTAGTGAGAGAGACATTCTCCCTCAAAGTCAGATATTTGTTAGAAGAAAAATAACAAATATCAAATGAGTACTTACAATCATGTATGCAACTAAAAATGATTTTTATAGAAAAAATTGCTTACATACCAAAGGAAAACATATCTTCAGAAAGTCATTATATGTGTAATTCTGAGACTAGTACCACAATAGGTAACTTCTGCAAAAAGACTTGAGTACCTGGTTTTGATGTTTCAGTTGGCAGCGGAGGCAGAAAACAAAGATAACGAGGCAGAACAGACGAGGCAGTATGGAAAACGGGTCAGATACGGGGAGGTCGTACAGGTAGGTCTAGAAATTTGGTCAAGGTTTCTATAGAAAATGCGTCCCACACAGGGAGATTATCTAGATTCTTAGGGGAAAAGGTTCTGTTATAAGGAGGCTGTCCTTGTATTAGATAAAAGAGATCTAGTTCTAGAACTGAATATCAAGATAAATGTATACAGGTTTCTGATTTGGAAAATATGCTTTGCTTGATGACAGATAATGAATAACATGTTTATAAATGCAGGTGAAATAAATTAGCATCAAGGTTGAGACAAATCTGAATACTGAACAATAATCTGACGATGAATAATATTAATGTTCATCATAGTTCTGGGAACCTAACATATTGAGAAATTCTTGGTTGTACTTAACAAACTTTTCTGATAGATCTTTATCGACAAAAAAAGATGTTTGACAATGAATTTCTATGTTCATTTCCTTTAAATGTATCTACAGTGCACAAAAGTAACATTTTACAGGATATGCAATCTTAAGAATTTTAAATTGAAAGTTTAATTCCATCATAAACATTATTTGTACAGATTTACATGAATATTGGTTTGTTCCATAACATCTTTGGAGTATACAAGTTTACAAAAGATTATATTTAGTGATACATTTCTGCTTTCTGAAAAAGTATACCCAAGATTTTGGGCTATAGTCATATTTCATGGAAATTAGCCTAGGAAAAGTTCCTTTGAAATTGACGTGTACATGTGCCTGGCTTCTTCAATTACAAGTAGAGAATGCCGTGATGTATATGTACTACTATAAATGTTACATCTAATTTCCAATTTACATTACCGCATCTAAAGTCTAAATGTAGCTGTATTGATCATATACACAATCAAAAATCAGATCCAAGCATTACTTTTCAAAGAACACAAACCATTTCTAACATCAGTGGACCTCAGATCTGTGTAGAAATGCTTTGAGTTTGTATAGCGCAAGGCAAATTGTGTCTGGTTTATACGGACATGTCTGATGATGTTGGCATCCCTGGGTCAGTGGTATGGTGTTATTAATTGCCGGACATAATGCAAAATTAGGAAATATAGTAGCTATAGGCTAACAATTCGGTGAGAACAGTAAGGCTAACTATACATGCGGGAACAGTGAGGGTTAGGGTATGGGAGAGCGACCAAACCATATGTTAGACAGAGGGGTGATCAATGATGGATAAAGAAAAAGTGAAAGTACAGACTTGATGTGCATTTACACCACAATTACACATGTTATTGTTTGTAGATTCCAACTCTGTCCTGACCATTTCCCAACTCTCCTAACACCACCCTCATGTTTATACACACAGACAGTAACAAAAAGTTAGCACACTCATCCACGCATGAAATTTGCAGCACGTCGTATGCCAACAATTTTATAACAAGAGGGCTTAGTATTTAGTCTTGGCAGAAAAGTACATTTGGGGTAGGCAACCATTGTTATGTGCTAACACCTGATGCAGGTAGAAGGTCAAAGCACAAGACAACATTCTGTTATCATAGCCAAGATAATTATCATCCTATCTGCAAAGTATTGTCCCACCTGCTAAGAATTCTTAATTTTGTTGTCATACCTATATACTGGTGCTGTACTCCACTAGTGCCTCCCTATAGAGCTCTATGATACAATACAGCTGAACCTCCTTCTGTCGGACTCAAAGTCTATGAACAGGAGGTAAACAGTATAATGTATGGAAATTAGAGAAACTGTCTTTTGATTAATATCATTTTGTAATGAAATGTAAAACACATCCTGAAATATTTAAGCTGTGTTTGGTTGAATAATAAGATAGAAATATATTGAATTCATTTCCACTACATGAGATATGAACTACAGCCATTGAGCTTGTTTTTAAGATAAATACTAGAAATATAGCGAGGGGCAGATCAGAGGGAGTATTATCCATCCCCACTACTTTTACATACATTAATGTACATACTTTAGTTTTGTCTGGACAAACGTGTGTGTCCTTAATTTAATTGGCATGTATTTTACAGTTGCCTACATGTTTACAGCTAAAGTATATACAAGTATGTACCTATTTTCAGCCTTTAGTGATCACCAAATTAAAGATATGAATGGACCTATTCTTCCTGCATTTACAGCTGAAGACATACAGTACCTGTTATCCCTGTAGCTACACTGTCTTACCTGCTAACCTATTTTTTGAGATTACAGCTGAAAACATACAGTACCCATTGTCCATTATTAACACTGTATTAACACTTTCTTTCTTTCTGTGATTACAGCTGAAGCATATATTCACAGGGAAGTTTGTGCACATGAGCACCACACAGACCAGTCAAAAGGATAAAAACAATATGAAGGTAGGGTCCTCTCAAATGTATCATCACATACATATGTGAAATGACATTGTCATGTATGAGTCCAACTGTCCACTAATACAAAACAAAAGCAAAAAATTAAAACAAAATCACAAGGAGTCCTGCTCTTTTTAATGAGGATGTTAAGTGCAGATCCTACACCAGTCCATTTGCTATGATTCAGTCTTTGTGTATAACTGAAGTGTTTCCTATGACAACCCCACAAATCAGAATGTTTTTAATTTAGATTTGATAATTAAGTCAAATGTATAATGTGTGTGAAAAGAAAACCCAACATATTTGTGGTGTTGAAAGTATATTCAAACTAATGGAAAATCACTGATTTTTTTTTTCATTTGTGAAAAACCAAAAGTTGCTTGAGTAATGAAATACTTAAGAGATTGATGAGATGTGTTAGTGCTGGTAGCTGTAAATGTATTTGTAAAACATGCTGAGAAACCAGGAGGTAATTAAACAGCAGTAAGAGTTACATATCATTAGGTCTGCCCATATACATCTACTTTAGTATGTGTAGCTTCAGAATAAGTGAACTGTAAAAATTTCATGTAGTTTGTTTCATTGAATATTGAAATTATGACAAACAAATCCCAGCGTGTTGAAAATGAAATGAATCCCCAAAGGATCAAAACCAACAAAAAATATGCATAGCATTTGAAAATTGTAAAAAATAGTCCAAAATTTTGTAATATTGTTCAATTGCTGTGAAGCTTGAAACGCTTTGTCCTTGTGTAGAATGTTGTCATGGAGTCATTGTGTCTGTTCCAGTGACACTTTAACAGATACTTAGCTGTCAGTGATAGCTCTACTGTCCCATTCATTTATAATCAGATCAGTTAAACATTGTCACTGACAGCACCAGGTGTATATCATCATAGAAACTAACGACAAATACATCATATATAGGAGTCAGGACAGATGACATGGTTATGTCACACAATATATATTTCTGACATGAAGGGTTGCTGGAGATGATTGTTATTTTGTAGTAGATAGTGTGGATAGGGTACAGGTGTACTAAGGTCTTCTGTAGACATACGTTGTAGTAGATTGTTTGGACAGGGTACAGGCGTACTAAGGTTTTCTGTAGACATACTTTGTAGTAGATTGTGTGGACAGGATACAGGCATACTAAGGTCTTCTGTAGACATACGTTGTAGTAGATTGTGTGGACAGGGTACAGGCGTACTAAGGTCTTCTGTAGACATACTTTGTAGTAGATTGTGTGGACAGGATACAGGTGTACTAAGGTCTTCTGTAGACATACTTTGTAGTAGATTGTGTAGACAGGGTACAGGCGTACTAAGATCTTCTGTAGACATACTTTGTAGTAGATTGTGTAGACAGGATACAGGCGTACTAAGGTCTTCTGTAGACATACTTTGTAGTAGATTGTGTGGACAGGATACAGGGTACTAAGGTCTTCAGTAGACATACTTTGTAGTAGATTGTGTGGACAGGGTACAGGCGTACTAAGATCTTCTGTAGACATACTTTGTAGTAGATTGTGTAGACAGGATACCGGCGTACTAAGGTCTTCTGTAGACATACTTTGTAGCAGATTGTGTGGACAGGGTACAGGCGTACTAAGGTCTCTGTAGACATACTTTGTAGTAGATTGTGTGGACAGGGTACAGGCATACTAAGAGACTAGTAAAAGACTACTTTAATGTTCCTCACTGCAGTTGTTCATTGTCAATTGAACATTTATCAAGAGACCATCAGCATTAGGAAACCACCTTTTGGAGTTTCCAAGGGTGGTCTCGTAATACAGGATGTTTGAATACTAATGTAATATGTTACCCATATAAACCAAAAATGATTTCTGAATGGACAGGTGGAATCTTTTACACAGAAATGTGTAACATGATACCCTAAAGAAGGTCTGGTATACACAAGCTGTAGTATATATTATGCATTTTTTTACACTCTACATGTTTACAAATATTTTTTTATATTATGTTACAGAAGATTTCAAATTGTCACCTTCCTTGAATTCAGGAAAAAAATAAACTGTTCTCCTTTTTGTAATCTTTTTAAGCCCATTATAATATCAAAAGGTTGGCTGTTCAAAGTGTCTTTCATCAGTGGTTACTGCCTCTGCTTGCTGTGCATCCTTCAGCAATATTTTCTCAAGAAACTTGAGAGATAATGCAGCCCCCACCCCCCTCTTTTTGTGTATGATTAATATTTAGATTGATTGAAAGATTGATTGTTGCCATGAGGACATATTGGATTTTAATGGCAGTTATAATATGTTATTGCTATACAGCGTGTATGAAGAAATAATGGAGGATTTTTTTTATAAAAATATAGTGTTCCCAGTTAAACATTAACAAAACTCAGTCTAGTGTGCCTCATAAAGATTAATATATATTTTTGACAATTTAAAAAAGAAAATGAAAAAAATATTTGTAAGTGAGAAATCAATGATTATTACTTTTGAGCTATTGTAACTTCAACAACATATAGTTTTCATCTAGAACTCAAAACGTGTGCTATGCTCTCACACAATAGACAATGATAAATACATGTCTATATTTATAGATAATTATATATCTATATAATTACTACATGTATTATTTTGCAATATGCCAGTAATCTCTAGGCTCTTCATCCAAAAGTACTGGCTGCAGGAATCCTCTAGGCTCCTCATAGAAAAACACAATAAATAAACATATCCTCAAGGACTGTCATTAATATCACATTAGGCAGCAGGAATTCATTCTCTGACAATCGAGAATGTCAACATGGTAGTTTATAGCAATTTGCAGGTCTGTAGCAAAGATGATTTGGAGGGAGGCAATGGAATAGGTTCTGTGTAAAGCCCATTATCCCAATCCAGGTCCTATGTTCAAAGACAATGTATCTTTTGATTGTGCAACAGAATATGTCCAATATTTTTTTTTATTACACAGGGTAAATTGTTTTATTGTCAAATTCCTAGTCCTGAAGTTGTCATTTGTATGTAAATACCTGAATTGTGTTCATCGAGCCTAAAACTAAGTTTTGTTTATAATAAATATTTCACTTTTTTCCAGTAAAAATAGAATAACGATACAGTTTATCCTCAGGATAAGTTACTATAGTTTGACTGGTATTACTCTTGTTGTTTTGTTCTGATTTATGTATCATCCATTCGTTTGTGTCACGTACACATTTCTCCAATACCACATCAATATTGAATTCCACTGGTTTTCTATCCTGCTGTATAAAGCTACCTTTTATGATTGCTGGCATTGATAAGCAGATCCTACTGTCAATATTGCTGATTTTAAATACATGTATAGATTTTAAACAAAAGATTCCTGTTTGAAAGCATTCTGAAACCCCCCCCACTTTTTTAATCGAAAAACATTTTTTCGGGTATCAAATTAGAAGTTATTCTGTTCATGAATGATTTTGAGGTCAATCTACCACTAAGTTGAAAAATTCACCTTAATATTATTCATATAAATGATTATTTATATAATGATCTTGTTTAAAGTTACAGTACAATTTACTGAATCACCCTCTCGTTCAGTTCACACATCTACCCATCTAATCAACAGAGCTTTCTAGACCATCATATTTGTTTCTTTCTAGCTACAATCATCAAGATACAGTGACTATATCCTTGGATATTGAGGTTTGGGTTCTGAAGGTCAAGGTCACACTCTCCGTGTATGAAATCTTCATAATCCTAATTATGTATGACCTTAAAACTTCATGGGATTATTTTTACCAATGAGTGATAAAACCTGATTTTTGGTTCAGAGGTCAAGGTCAATGTCGTAATGACCCATTAAATTGTTCTGGGTGGTCGGGTGGTGCAGTGGATAGCGCACTTGTCTTTCACCATAGCGGCCGGGGTTCGATTCCCCGATCAGACGTGAAAAGGTTGGGGTCACCTGCCCGAGCACCTGGGATTTCTCTGGGTATTCCGGTTTCCTCCCACACTAAGACCTCCCACACGCTAACATCCGGGCCAACAAGAGTGATTAATATAAGTTGAAATAACTTGTTTCATAATTGTTGTAAAATAAACAAAGTTTATATTTATATTATATTTAATTGTTCTACTTGGAACCTTTAAGCTGCACAGGATGAAAATGCATCCAGTGAGGAGGATCAAAGTCACAATGAGCCATTTTGTGAACAAATAAATTTCAATTCTCAGTTTAGCATCTTCCCCTCCTGAGACCTTGAAAATCTACAGGATGACTTGATTAGTAGAGTATATGACCTCTATTCATTTCTAGTCAAAAAGTCACAGTGACACATCATGCTAAAACAATTCTGGACTCTTAAATGGTTTATCTTCTAGAAACTCAAAAAATACACAGGATGACAGTAACCCTTTGAGACACCCTCAAGATTTTGGTTTGAAGGATGACTAACGCATTTCTAGGTGTTTTTTTAGCTCACCTGGCCCGAAGGGCCAAATGAGCTTATGGCACGGTGCGGCGTCCGTCGTCCGCCATCCTTCCGTCGGTGATGATATTTGGCCAGCAGCATGCTTGGATGAAGGGCTACCAAGTTTGTTTAAATGAATGACCTTCATCAATTTTCAAGGTCACAGGGGTCAAATATGTTTAAATCTTTTAAACAATTTCTTCTGAATAACCGAGAGGCCTAGGGTGATGATATTTGGCCAGTAACATGCTGGGATGAAGGGCTTCCAAGTTTTTTCAAATAAATGACCTTGACTTATATCCAAGGTCACAGGGGTCAAATATGTTAAAACATTTAAACAACTTCTTCTGAAAAACCAAGAGGCCTAGGGTGATTATATTTAGCCAGTAACATGCTTGGATGAAGGGCTGCCAGGATTTTTCAAATAAATGACCTTGACTTATATTCAAGGTCACAGGGGTCAAATATGTTTTTTTTTTTAACAATTTCTTCTGAATAACCAAGAGGCCTAGGGTGATGAAAGTTGGCCAGTAACATGCTGGGATGAAGGGCTACTAAGTTTGTTCAAATAAATGACCTTGATCCACTTTCAAGGTCACAGGGGTCAAATATGCTATAAACCTTTAAACACCTTTTTCTGAATAACCGAGAGGCCTAGGGTGATGATATTTGGGCAGTAAGATGCTGGGATGAAGGGCTACCAAGTTTGTTCAAATAAATGACATTGACTTATATTCAAGGTCACAGAGGGCAAATATGTTTTAAACATTTAAACAACTTCTTCTGAATAACCAATAGGCCTAGGGTGATGATATTTGGCTAGAAGCATGTTTGGATGAAGGGCTTTAAAGTTTGTTCAAATGAATGACCTTCTTCTTTTTTCAAGGTCACAGGGTCAAATATGTTCTAAACCTTTAAACAACTTCTTCTGAATAAGCAAAAGGCCAAGGGTGATGATATTATTATAATGTCCTTGTTCGACATTCAAGGTCACAGGTGTCATATGTTTAAATCTTTTAATAGGTTCTTATGAATGAAACACTGATATTTTGCCTGTAGCTGTATTTTAGTCTACTTTTAAGATTACAAGTGTGAGATTAATACCAGGTGAGCGATGCAGGCCCATTGGGCCTCTTGTTTAAACGAGGAATGCAATTGCCTGCATTAATTACAAGCAGTGATAGCACCAGCCTTTTCTAAGGGATTGTTACAAGCAGTGATAGCACCATGCAGCCTTGTCTAAGGGATTGTTACAAGCAGTGATTATAGCACCAGCCTTGTCTAAGGGATTGTTACAAGCAGTGATAGAACCAGCCTTTTCTAAGGGATTGTTACAAGCAGTGATAGCACCAGCCTTTTCTAAGGGATTGTTACAAGCTGTGATTATAGCACCAGCCTTGTCTAAGGGATTGTTGCAAGCAGTGGTAGAACCAGCCTTTTCAAAGGGATTGTTACAAGCAGTGATAGCACCATGCAGCCTTGTCTAAGGGATTGTTACAAGCAGTGATAGCACCAGCCTTGTCTAAGGGATTGTTGCAAGCAGTGATAGAACCAGCCTTGTCTAAGGGATTGTTGCAAGCAGTGATAGAACCAGCCTTGTCTAAGGGATTGTTGCAAGCAGTGATAGCACCAGCCTTTTCTAATGGATTGTTACAAGCAGTGATAGCACCAGCTTTTTCAAAGGGATTGTTACAAGCAGTGATAGCACCATGCAGCATTGTCTAAGGGATTGTTACAAGCAGTGATAGCTCCAGCCTTGTCTAAGGGATTGTTACAAGCTGTGATAGCACCAGCCTTTTCAAAGGGATTGTTACAAGCAGTGATAGCTCTAGCCTTGTCTAAGGGATTGTTACAAGCTGTGATAGCACCAGCCTTGTCTAAGGGATTGTTACAAGCAGTGATAGAACCAGCCTTTTCTAAAGGATTGTTGCAAGCAGTGATAGAACCAGCCTTGTCTAAGGGATTGTTGCAAGCAGTGATAGAACCAGCCTTTTCTAAGGGATTGTTACAAGCAGTGATAGAACCAGCCTTGTCTATGGGATTGTTACAAGCAGTGATAGCACCAGCCTTGTCTATGGGATTGTTACAAGCAGTGATAGCACCAGCCTTGTATAAGGGATTGTTACAAGCAGTGATAGAACCAGCCTTTTCTAAAGGATTGTTGCAAGCAGTGATAGAACTAGCCTTGTCTAAGGGATTGTTGCAAGCAGTGATAGCACCAGCCTTTTCTAAGGGATTGTTACAAGCAGTGATTATAGCACCAGCCTTGTCTAAGGGATTGTTGCAAGCTGTGATAGCACCAGCCTTTTCTAAGGGATTGTTACAAGCAGTGACTATAGCACCAGCCTTGTCTAAGGGATTGTTGCAAGCTGTGATAGCACCAGCCTTTTCTAAGGGATTGTTACAAGCAGTGATTATAGCACCAGCCTTGTCTAAGGGATTGTTACGAATGCAACCAAGAAGTGTTAAAAGATATTCAAATCAAGCTGTTGATTTGGTTCTTTAGCTGTTTATTGCACTCATAATTGGCATGATTTAGGTCCTAAACGTTTGACTGTACTTATACAGAATTTATAGGAATGCGTAGAATTTAGTCATAAAATTTCATAAAAAAAAAATTTGCAAGTCTACCAGCTCATAGCACTACATTTCGTTCCTATAGCTACAAGATGTGAACACCTTAACATAAAATGACTCAAATTCCTGAAGATTTGGACATTTGTTTGCAGCAAATCATTCATTAATAAGGGGCACTCCAGTTCCAAGTAATTTAAATCTGATGCCTTTGAAGCTTCATTAGTCCTGCCTTTCCTAATTGGCTAAGGTATTGCCCATCAATTTAACAGTAGGCTCGTTGCATGTTCCCATTATACATAATCAATCTTTCCTGAAGAACTGTTCCAGATGGTATTGATGAAGAATTGTGTGAAACATGTGGTTGTGAGATATTTAGTGCCTACGTTGTTTGCATTCAGATTGTAATAGCTGTGTTAAATAGCTACGAATTTCAACCAGGCATTTATCCATTTTTATATATGATCTGTTTGGATAAATGAATATGTACATCTTTGAATACACGTAGTAAGTTTTGAAAGGTGGGTGAGAAATTAGGTTGGATGTGGAACAGGATCTGACTTTCTTGTTTTGGTGATTCGATCCCTTAAGAAATGAAATATATGATTCAACGTGAGATATTTATCAATTATTGACTTTTGTTGAGGTGAACATGCAGTTATAATGACCTGAGAAAATAATATTGACAGAGGCATTGTCGAGGTCAATATCACTTTATCTGGCCATATAACCATCTATTCACAAAAATGAAAGTCCTTTATTGTTATGCTTAACAAAGATTTAAGCATTAAACAAGATAGAAGTGATGAAAATTGTATGGTGGAAAGGACTGCATTTGCAGAGAGCATTGTCACGTTACAATTGAAATGACATTATAAAGTCAATATTAACTTGCTTTTTCTAAAAATAGTAACACAGTCAATTTCAAAAATCACCAACCTCCATATGATTGAGATCCAACCAATGGGTGTGTAGTAAAAGTGTGAGTCATCTGATATTAATTATTACACCCTATATGAGCTACTGTCAATGAGGTTTTTGGGATATGTTTTGTAAATTTCGTGAATTTTGAAATTGTTACTTTTAGAAGTTTTGCTTTTTTTTTTATTTCCCTCCTCACCTACAGTAAATTTTTCAAAGTAAAAATTCCACCTTAATGGAGTGATTGTAGTTCCAACAATCATGAATTTCAAAATAAAATGCACATAAGAAGAAAAAGTACTTGTGTACCCCATTTCCCCCCCAAAACATTCGTCCATGAGAAAACCGTAATAAAGTTCACAGATGACAAGGTACATTGACCTCAAGATACTAAATCCTTGTACAATCATCGATGTGGTTTTTACCTTAACAAATGATCTAACACAAATTTATAAAGATGTTGGACTCTATAGCTATACTATATTTCGCTTCAGTAATTACTAATTGTAGTATAAGATTAATAACCCGAGTTTTTGTATTTTACAGGTGTCATTACATGAATTCAATGCCAAAAATGCACAGTTCCGGATCCTACCTCGGTACAAAGTTAAGTCGGAAGGGGAAGTGGTAAGTGTTTCTCATAATTCTGTGCCATCTGACACATTGGGTTCATAGAATCATTAGTTTTGTTTAAGATTAGCACTACAGATTTGATTTAAGATGGCAGTTATGATACAGAAAGTGGGCACATCTTGGTCCTCTTGTATGTGGCTGACAATTTGTTTGAAGTACATTCAGTAAAAGCCAGGTTGTGTAGTGGTGAGCTTTTAATGTTCCAATACATGAATCATTGGAAATTCATTACATGTACAGAGTTAATTGTTCTCAATGTTAAACTGAAGTTTACCTAGATGTGCAGGGTTATAGTAGCATCCTCCCTCTTGAACAAATTGAAAGGCGATGAACAGACTGATAGACAAGTTGTGTGAAGCCGTTTCAATGGTGATGAGCTCTGTGTAGACATCACATGTTCTGGTGGTAGGATATGATAGTGACGGAGGAAGCATTTAGTTAACTTGTGTCCTACCTGTGTAGAATATAAATGATGATATATCAATGACAGTACTGAAATCAGACAGTTACTTATTCAGTTACTAGGAACTAGGGTTGGTTGCTTTACTAGGTGGCTCTTTGTAGAACTATGGTTGGTTGCTTTACTATGTGGCTCTTTGTAGAACTATGGTTGGTTGCTTTACTAGGTGGCTCTTTGTAGAACTATATGGTTGGTTGCTTTACTAGGTGGCTCTTTGTAGAACTAGGGTTGGTTGCTTTACTAGGTGGCTCTTTGTAGAACTAGGATTGGTTGCTTTACTAGGTAGCTCTTTGTAGAACTAGGGTTGGTTGATTTACTAGGTGGCTCTTTGTAGAACTAGGGTTGGTTGCTTTACTAGGTGGCTCTTTGTAAAAGTGATACAGTTTCTGTGTCAGTTCTGCTGTATCACTTCAGAACAATCCAATTCATGCTCTTCAGTATGAATGGATTTTGGATCATATGGGCTAGACGCATACAGAGCTTGTGAAAGTGTTGTGGTAATACACATAGCTTTATATCAATAGAGAAGAGAATAAAAACTTAGAAAAAAAAGACCCAGTACCAATTTTGTCACAAAATTCTGCTTTATAAAACATAGCTTATGGTATCTATGATAACATCATCAATGGGAACCCTAGAACACACTGGCAAATTAGACCAGTGTTGATATATCACTTTGGTGAATAAACATTTATGTCATTGAGTAAGTTAATTCAATAAAATAAAACTTGTCTGTATTGAACAAAAGCTCTGCTTTGTATTCCTAGACACATTTAATACATGCAGATATCACGAGAAGGAATCCATCACCAGAACCCTCAAACAATTTTGTATTGTTGTTGTTATAATCTTCTACAGTGATCTGGTAGCCTGATAGTAATTAAACGAATATGATGTCTTGGTCACCCTCTTGTTTGAAAGAACTAATGTGTGGGCGGTCACCCATCAGCCACTTCTATGTTCAATGCTCTGTTGCTTGGAACTCGTTCAATATATTGCTGAATACCATTTGTTTCGTAAACAATCACATGTGACGTGGGTAAACATGGACTGAATACGGTTCTCATAGAATTTGATAAATGAAACTTTTTGGTAGGAATAATCTACAGAATTATCCTGAATCTTGGGATTTTTTTTTTTATACAAAAGTAAACATTAATGGAAAGAATTTGTGCATAGGTAAAAATAAAATATTTTAGTACGATTTTAGCGTAAATTGATAAAAAGTTGTAACTGTTCCGCAAGATGGAGAAGACATTTAGATATTATCAGCAGCATAATGATAAACAGTGTTTATAAATACTACTCATGGAACTCCGTAATTATCTATGACATGAATTATTGGCAATATGAGGATTGAGGACCAGACATTAAACTGCTACTATCTACTGACATCTGTGGTAGCCAATAGTTGCTGTACAAGATTGGATGATAAAGCTTTGACATTGTGTGACTGAAGTGATGTCGTTTGTCTGTGATATTATCTGTATTGAGATTACAAATATATTACATTATGAGAGTGATCTGGGACACCATACATTTACAGGCTTTTTCACAGGACAGTGATTATTTATCAGTACTTCTCATCCAGAAAGCCCAGTTTTAACAGTTTTTACTCAACACATGTTCTACAAATATTGTACAAATAGGATTTAATATGACCCAGGTCCGGTGGTACAAGAGTAACATCGTTTATACTTGATAGAATTTTCATAAAAAAATAAAAATTAAAGTAGTTATATTTTTTGGTCGTTGTTGGAATATTTCTAGTACGCCCACCTTGGCATGGCATGTTATGTATCGTCTTGTTTATCCATCAGCAATGCAGTTTCCGCCTCATAACTTCACTATTTATGACACACCCTGACCAAACATCCTGAGGTGGTAGGAGTTTAAGACAGCAGTACTCTGGGGACCATCCGGTGTTGTTAAGTTCATTCAAGGTCAAAACTACCAGTCAGATTCACCAAAGGTCATTCAAGGTCAAAACTACCAGTCAGATTCACCAAAGGTCATTCAAGGTCAAAACATCCAGTCAGATTCACCAAAGGTCATTCAAGGTCAAAACATCCAGTCAGATTCACCAAAGGTCATTCTAGGACATTCAAAATCAATTTCTATGTATTTTATAACGATCACATGTGTATCCTGCATTTAATATGTACACACATAATTTGTTCTATCTAAGATGCTGCAGTTTAGTGCTAACAATTAATAAAATTACTTCCAGTAAATTTTCCCCATATTTGAGAGTTTGGTTCACTGGATAACATGAATGTCTTTATTCGGGTGTTTAGTTTGTACCTTACGTACCTACCCAAGTGTGTAAAGATGTGATAAACGTACAATGTGGACTCTGTTCGGAGCTTGTCAGGTAGAACGTGTCCCATCATCTTATTGTTATCTTCTCCCAGAATGTCAACCAAAACATAATGGCCTGAAAGTGTCACAGCTTCAGTGTTAAAACGGGTGTTACTAGATCTGACACTTAAGTACTTTCATATGATGTGATGAATAATTTCAGAGCCTGTGATCATTGTCATTAATGTAGGAACAGACTTTAAATCCTCATAAAATATAGCTTCCTATTTTAGTTTTCAAGCTGAATTGATTTCTAGAATATAATATCTAAGATAATATCAGAAAATATCTGGCACAAATTCATGAAAATTTAACTTTTCATACTAAATTCTGATGCCTCCAGTTATGGTAAAATTAACTATTTAATCGGTCATAATCATCTGAGTTCACTTAGCTGATGCTTTCCAGTGGACATTTCATTGACAAAATTAAACTGACCAATTGAGAAAGAAACTTTTTTCAGCTTTCATTAGTGTGGATCACTCTAGGAAAGGATATACTTAAAAAAGTTTACATTCTGACATGATCCTCAACATTTCAGGGGTTACACTCGGTGTGTTCTCTGCACTCCTGGAATATGTCATGATGAAATTAAATGCTCTGCGCGCACCACATTGTGGATGATACAATTAATCTAGGTTGTGTGATTCTTTGATGGACACCAAAAGAATCATGCAGCAGCATTATGGTAAAGTTGACAGACTAATTAAGCTTTTGAAGTCGGATATCGCTCCTCTGTAATCTTCAAAGGACGGCATCAGTCTAGCGATTGGTCAATTTTTTTCTTTTACCTGAAACCAATTTTATGGCATGCCTTCAATTTTGTCATGACAATATGGGTGTAGAGAAGGTAACCCCTAGAATATAAAAAAAAAAAATGTCTTAAAAAATAGTATACCTCTTTGAGAAATGTATAATAGGCTTTTCACAAGGATTTTAAAATTGCCTATATTGTAAGTACTTAATGATTTAACAATTTGTTTGACCTGTTTATAATTGATGATACCTGTAACCGTTGACACCTCATCTTTTATATTTCTACACTAGCCGTTTGATCATAAACTTACCCCTTATGTTCAACATTCACAAATTACAAACTGCTGTACCGAGAAATTAAATGCATCACTTGCTAACACAGTGTGTGAAGTTTGTGGTTAATCAACACAGCTTGAGCTTAAAATAAATATTAAAGATACATAAAAATATATAGACATTTAGACTTGTATTTATTGTAAAAATATCGAAATTTGAAATGGAGCTATGCAGAGAACTCTCTAATCCCTCACTCTGCTGAAGTACAGCTTTCTGAGAGTGGTTTATTTACTCCCATTATATCTAGATGTATGTGTATGTACTATATGTACAATCTAATCTCCATTTTATCTTTATTTATAACTTCAGTTTTTATACTCTCAAATACATTCGGTAACAAGCTCCGAAGTTCCCATGAACCGAGACAGTTTATGTTGGGATAATTTGGCCAAGATTTTCCCCTTAATCTCTCTTGCTTTCTTCCTCTATTTAATCAGGTAACTCTATGGTTTGTGCCTGTGTTATTGTACTTGTAAATTCCACAGAGAAAAACTTACCTGTTCGTAAAAGTCTAGGGGTGATAAGAAATTAGACTGTACTGGGTCAACTTCACGTTCTTAGAACTTGTTCATTTACACTATAAGTGATTGCTGCGTTATCTTTATTGGGTAGTAAAGTCACACGCTAGTATTACTTAATAAATAAATCTATTGGAAACACCAGATTTGTAAGGCATTACGGCAATTTACTACTTCTGAGTATGTGTTTATTTTCATTTGAAATATAAATATAACATATTCCTGTCATTTTTAAACATTTTGAATGCAGAGAGTTCATACAATAATCCTCAAATACCAAATTGATTAACTTAGTTCCTTAAATTCCATAATGTAACGTTGCAAAAATAACGGCACCACCCAGACTCTGGATCCTGTTTGTAAGACTGCATGGTATTTGCGTGTGCATCATATTATGGCAGTACAAGTGTAAGCTGTGATGTAATTAACGGAGAACAATGTGTATTTACAGCTGGCATGTAGGTGTTGGAGGGAGGCCACATCCTCAGACTACCCATCTGTTTCCCTGATTAATATTACGTATTTAAAAAACATTCACCTAATCATGCTAATGACTTCATAGTCATGGATAGCTGCTGCTCTTTGAAACATCGATAGTTAGGTATTTGAGTCGAAATATTATAAGATATTAGTTAAAAACATTTTATCAGGATTTCATTTTGTGTGTTTAATTGCCTTATGACTGGCATAGCTAGTAACAACTGGTAGTGTTACCCTTACCACTACTGATACCCTTACCACTACTGATACCCTTACCACTACTGATACCATTACCACTACTGATACCCTTGCCACTACTGATGCCCTTACCACTACTGATACTCTTCCCACTACTGATACCCTTCCCACTACTGATACCCTTCCCACTCCTGATACTCTTACCACTACTGTTACCCTTACCACTACTGATGCCCTTCCCACTGATACCCTTACCACTACTGATACCCTTACCACTACTGATACTCTTACCACTACTGATACCCTTACTACTGATACCCTTACCACTACTGATACCCTTACCACTGATACCCTTACCACTACTGATACCCTTACCACTGATACCCTTACCACTACTGATATCCTTACCACTAGTTACTGATACCCTTACCACTACTGATACCCTTACCACTACTGATACCCTTACCACTACTGATACCCTTACCACTGATACTCTTACCACTACTGTTACCCTTACCACTAGTGTTACCCTTACCACTACTGATACCCTTACCACTACTGTTACCCTTACCACTACTGTTACCCTTACCACTACTGATACCCTTACCACTACTGATACCCTATACTGTATAACATGAAATCTTCATTGTGTATACATTTTCCTGGTTGTTATTGAACCACAAAAATAAATACAACGAATTTGAATGATTTACATGTCTGCTGTTTGTTGATATAGGATATGAGAAACGGACGAAAGTTTGTACCACAAAACGATCTAAATGGCTTAAAACTAGGAAGGAAAGTACCCACGAACATTTTGTGTTTTACAGTATTCCTAATGTAACACAGTGACACTAATAGTTTACCAGTGACACTAATAGGTTCCCTGCCTATCGTAGTGCTTGTGTTACCCCTATCGATAGGATCGTCCCCTATTGCCAATGTTACCTGCTCTGCTAGTGCTGGTATTAATCCTATTGCTAGTTTGACGTGACATTGTGACACAAACAGAACTGTTTTTGTTACAACAACCCCCTCCCCCCCCCCCCCCCCCCCCCCC